TATAAAGAGTTCTACCCAGCATAAATGGATCACCCAAACAAATATGAGGAATTGTTTAACATCCTTTCTAAAAAAACAAAATGCCGTTTAAGGAATTAAGGAGTTGCTCAAATTTGATATTGAAAACCATGATTGAGAATATAGTAATCATGCACTCTTAATTCATCATCATGTTTTATCAAAAAGAAATGTTCATTATCATGTGGTTCATTGAAAATATCTTGTTGCTCAATGACCCACTCATTAGACATTAAACAAAATCGATAAGATTTTGATAATGTAGATTATTATGATAGCCAGGCAAAAGATAAGAAAGACCATCAATAATTTTACAGAACCTTCTTTAGACGAATCATTTATTTCTTTTTTGATTTGTACTATTAGGGTATTTTTAGTCTATTTACATATGCTTCAGGATTAATTATTCTTCCGACGATTTAAAGGCATAACTTCACATTTTCCTTGTGCATTCAAGAAAATTAAATTTCATTATGCATTCAAGAAAATTAAATTTCATTAGATGCTAACAATACTTCAAAACTTAAAACTTAGACCTATAGATCCAACCCTTGGGCTTCCTCTCTGGAGTTTATCTATATCTTAAGCATGTACAAATTATCCTGCTACCAAAAAAGTACATGTACAAATTACCCCATTCTCAGCCTATTTTCTAATGCAGTTTTATTTTAGGTGTAAACAGCAGTAGTGCATAATTGTATTCCATGCTTACCAACTCGAATCATGCCCCGTGGCTCCAACTCAACATCATATAATCAACGATTAGGTTTTCTATTGGAGTTTAGAAACTCATTCCCTAAGGGGGACATAACCTAGCAACTGACACTGGGTTTAAGTGTTAGGTAATTCCAGAATAATCTGCGTGCCTAAACATAATTGATTACTAGGAACTTCAATCTTATTGAAAGGACAAATTTACTAGAAACAGAGAAGAGGTATTTTTTTCTGATATGCAAAAACCATGTTGTTGGTGCTATTCTCACTATTCCTTGTCACATCATTTGGCTCATTATGATATCCAAGAACATTTCAACATCAGTTAGTCT